TGAAATGGGATATCTTCTTGAGTCAGTACAACATTGACATCCGTCCAAGGCCTTCCATCAAGGGCCAAGCCCTGGCGGACTTTGTGACGGAATGTACCGCAAGGGCAGCCACGGACGGGGAGCCCTCGGCTACCTCGGACGACTGGTGGACCCTCTACACTGATGGCTCCTCCGCGACCAAAGCATGCGGGGGAGGGGTAGTCCTCATTACTCCCGAGGGCTTCAGGGCCTACTATGCAATCCGCTTTTCTTTCAAGGTCTCCAACAATGAGGCCGAATATGAAGCCCTCCTATGTGGCCTTCGGCTGGCTGCCAACATGAGGGCTCGGCAGATCCACATCAAATGCGACTCCAAGTTGGTCGTTGGCCAAATCTCCGAAGAATATGAGGCCAAGGAGGGGAGAATGAAACAGTACAAGGAAGCGGCCAAGTAGTTGCTTAAGGTATTTGAGGCACACTCTCTCACTCAAATACCGAGGGCTCAGAACTCCGAGGCCGACATATTATCTAAGCTCTCGGCAGACTCCCCCGAGCACATCTCCAAAATTGCCAAAATCGAAGAACTCAGCCTCTCAAGCATCCATGCAAGCCCCGTTATGAACATACAACAACGTCAGGAGGATTGGATCTCAGATATCACCGCCTTCATCTCCACAGGGCAGCTACCCGAGAATGAGGCCCGCGCTAAACTGGCAAAGCTGAGGGCTCCCAGCTACACCATCGAAGATGGGAGGCTCTACAAACGATCTTACAATGGCACGCTACTTCGGTGCCTTCATCCAGATGAAGCCGAGGTCGCAATGGAGGAAGTGCACAGTGGCACTTGCTCAGCTCACCAGGGACCCTTCTCCATGTCCCGAAGGCTCATTCTCCAGGGCTACTTCTGGCCAACCATGGCCAGGGACTGTGCTGACCTTGCCCGGAGGTGCACCGCATGTCAACATTTCCAGAAAGCTCCCGGCAGGCCAGCGGTCAACTACGCCCCCATCAGCACCTCTGTCCCATTTTCTCGATGGGGGATAGACCTTGTGGGCCCTCTGCCGAGGGGTACCTCCAACAACAGATACATCATTGTGGCCGTCGACTATTTTACCAAGTGGGTGGAGGCTGAACCCCTCGCCAGCATCACAGAGGCGAAGTGCCGTCACTTCGTCCTCAAGAACATCCTCACAAGGTTTGGCGTCCCCCAGCAGATCATCTCCGACAATGGGACACAATTTGAGGCAGCCCCCTTCTGTGCCCTTCTGGAGGCATGGGGCATCAAACACACCTTCTCCTCCGTTGCCTACCCTCAAGGCAACGGGCAAGTAGAGAACGCCAACCGGACCTTGCTCGAGGGCCTCAAAAAGAAGCTGGAGGCCGAGGGTGGTGGCTGGGTGGAAGAACTTCACAACATCCTTTGGGCCTACCGCACCACCCCTCGGCGAGCTACAGGTGAAACACCCTTCTCCCTCTGCTACGGTTTTGAAGCCAAAGCTCCTACGGAAGTCACCCTTCCTACCTGAAGGGTGATCCAATACGACCCCGAGGTCAACGACAGCAACATGGACGAAGGTGCCTCCGTGAACAGCTTCCACCTGGCCACCTGCTGCAAGTTGGCGAAGCCCTCGACATTCGCGTGACCCCCTCGACAGAGGTTGAAGCTCTGGAAGAACAAGTCCAGGCTGGGGGTCACCCCTCGGTCCCTACAGAGGTTTAGAAAACCCGCCATGTAGGAGTGGCTATTAGGTGTCAGCTGGCAGGGTACCAAGCCAACAAACCTCAGGTATTCCCGGAGGAAGGGGTGCAGAGGGAACCGAAGGCCCATGGAGACCGACAGTACGTGTACTGCAATGCACCCCTCAGGCGCCCGAGAGAGCACGTCGTCAACTCCCGGCTCGACCACCTCGGCCGAGGGCCCTACATGTAGCTGCTTCACGTAGAGGTCCGCCCTGTCCGCCTTCGACTTTATCTCCAAGGCAGCCGTGTTGAGCCAGGAATACCCCTCCGGCATATCTACGGGTTTCCCCTGATCAGCAGCAATAACCTTCTTCTTGGGGACAGCTGCCTTGGCCTTCTTCTTCCCGGGGGCCACCCGGATGGGAACTGCATTCAGCGGCTGGGAAGTACTGGCCTCACCAGCACCCCGAGGGGGAAGGACGGCCACGGTGACCTTTGCCCTCTCCTTTTCCTCCTCCTCTTCAGCAACTTGGATGGCGAGGGCCAACTCTTCATCCTCGGCAGTTCGCTCGAATTCCTCCGCCTCGGCCTCGGCCGTCAGATCCTTCTGCACCTCAGTGGCGAGGGCTGCATCACCACCATCCGAGGGCTGACCACTGCTGGACTCCACGTCGGAGATGCCTTCGTCCTCCATCGAGGGCGTCCTCGAGATGTCCTGGGAATCGCTCTCGGACGACATTTTTACCACGAGGCGTGTCTAAGGTTTATACAGGACTAACCCTAATCTAAGGCCAGAGGGCGGAACTTACTAAAAATTTGGAGAGGAAAATGGGCACTGACCTTGAAAGCAGAGTTTTGACCGAAGGCAGGAGTTTCTCTCACTAGATTTTTTGGCAGAGCTTCGCTAAGACAACTGAGTTCGCACAGCGGGAATGGCTCTGGCCTTGGGGTATTTATAGGCGCTGGAATCCGGGCTTGGGCCCGGAAACCGGGCCTCCGGACGGACCGTCATCATTACACACCGTCGTTTCACCCAACCGGTGACGCCGCCCGCGAACAGCCAGCCATCACACGCCACGTGTGCCACCCCCCCAACGGCTATATCCCGTCGTTACATATTCCAACGGCTATATTTCCAACGACTATATTCTGGAAGGCCCCGGGTTTTCTACTTCACTCCATTTCATCGAGGATAGCCTCCGGGTACACTCACCCAGAAGTGCCCCCGGGTTGTGCCCCACACAGCACATAACAAACGCCCTCGGGATCACTCCTCCAGAAACCCAGGGCTTCATATCAGGGCACCCCTCGGGGATTCCCCCTCAGCACTGCAAAACCGGGGTAGCCCCCGGGGAGTTGCCTCATTGACGGATGGCCCATGGCACACATGTAATGGGGAGCCCTCGGGTATCTTCATCACCAACAAATCAACAAACAGTGGACCCCCTCGGTAGCAACTTCACTGCTGCCCTCATCTGGCAGGCCCTCGATCCCTGGATTGAGAGACTCCCCTTCGGCGCCACCAGGACATCAACAGCAAGCCTTCGGCTAATCAACACAGGAGCTCTCAGAAGAGAGAGCCTTCGGCATTCCCGTCATTCTCCACTTTATACCAAGGTTTAACATTTTCGATTCATCATTGGGGGAATTCGGTGCACTCTTTTTCCCTCATTAGGATTTTTTCCCAAAGGGTTTTTCCTAATGAGGTTTTTAACGAGGCATCCCCCCAAAATGAAACGAAAAGCGTCAGCTTTCGGTCCACAACAGCAACATAACTACTTTACTCCTTTTCACCACTCTACAAGTGCCTCAAGGAGTGGGAGACTGGAGGACCCCCTCGGGAAAATCATTAAATTACAAAATCTGTGAAATTCCAACAAACAACAAAGCAAGCCCTCAAGTCCCGACATGTGGGTAACTGAGGGACTGCCTTCGGCAGGGACATAAAAGCAACAACTCCTCACCAATTTCAGAGATCATGACGGGACAACATCAAAGGACAAGCACAAATTACTCCTTTTCCCTCAAGTACCTTTCGGCAAAAGGAGTGAGGGACTCCTGATGGAGTATATGGCCCGGGAACCCCCGACCCACAGACTCCTACTACTCCAGCAAAGGCCCAACAGGCCCAAAAGGCCCAACAGGCCCAAATCACAGCGCCCAGAGTACCAAGCAGCCCGCACTACACGCCAGGGGTGCCTTCGGCCCCCTGGCCGAAGGCTCTAAATTCTCACAGAGCGGGTTCCTCAAGCAAATTAAGAAACTGGGAGAAAACGGCGAAAACAGTAGCCCTCGGCACTGTGAGCCCTCGGCACCAGGGTGCCGTCGGGTGGAAGAGCCCTCGGCTACTGCTCTATAGCCGAAGGCATCTCACTCGACAAGATATCCGCCTCACATGCGTACAGATCATCGTACCCCGCACAGACGTCCCATCCAACAGCCGCATTAAATGCGGCCACATGCGCCTGCCAGCGCCAACCAGTTGAGGTGACCCCTCGGCCAATGAGCGCTTGACACGTGTCCCTGCCCGGCATTTATTGCTACTATAAATAGCACCCCATTTCCCCATTTGTAACCAAGTCATAACACGCTGAAAACACTCCGCATTTATAATACATTCTCTCTCTCTACTTTTATTTACTTGCTCTGACTTCTCTCTAAATTACTCCCCGTAATAACCCTTCGGATATATACCCCCGGGTAGACTATCCATCATATATCATTTTTAATCTTTTACTTTATAAATCAAATTTTTACCAAATGTACATTTTTTTATCAGGCCTTGCAGCGATTTTAATGTAGTTTCTGAATATGTTAATTTTATTTACTAAAAATAATCAGAGTGTGAACAAGGATTAAGTTGCTTTATCATCCGTCAAGCATCCCAAACCGTTCACGGGAACCTTCTAGCGGGACGGAGGGAGTACGTAGTACGGAGTATATTTTAATCAATTATTAATAGAATATAAACTTAGAGCTCGTTTGATGACCATGTTTTTCGACTTAAGAAACATATCATTCGATTTTTTCACCAAACACGTAAATTTTCGTTTCGCACACTGAATTTTATAATGATATGATAAAGTAAAGTTGTAGTTACTTTTCTGGTCGTACTGTCTCAAGTTAATGCAGAAGATCATTGTAGCTGCTTTTCATGTAAATTTTTGTTTATTTTGTTAATAAAAATATATTTGAAATATAATTTTTTCATAAATCAATCAGAAAAGTCAATTCAACCATTCATCAAACTTATCTAAAAAATCACAATACAACCTATTTGGCTATTTGGGTGCTAGAAAACGAGCTCTTAATATACACTCGATGTATAAATGGAGGGGCATGTAACAGTGAAACAAATCTCGGATACAGGCCTGGGTGCTGATCTTCTCTTTCACCTTTCAAGACAAACATGCTTTTCTCGTCTCCCCTTTCATCCTTCCCTTGCCCGGTCCTAATCGGCTATCTTTTTCTTTAGCCTTTTCAACCTTAAAAACAAACTCCATTCACTTCCCTTCAATTCTTTGCCCCACTCACTCCCGCCTCCAATGGCGACATCCTCCTCTGATTCCTCACCCTATTTCAGCTTCTTCTCCCTGTGCGTGATGGGTATGATTCTGTTCTCTGCCCCCTTTGTTGCTTCTCAGCCGCCTCTGGGATCGCCGGAGCAAGAAGCTGTTTACCGGCTTTTGGAGTCCATCAACCCTGACATCCATTGGCGATCTGTCTTCCCGGACGATCTCTGCTCCACAGCCCCGCACGGGGTCGTTTGCGATTTCTTCGCCGCAGGCGAAGATAACAGCTCCTCGCCCACATTCGCCTCCGCCGCCGGCGTAACCTCTCACATTACGGAGCTAAACTTTGGGTACGTTTCTGACTACTCTCCCAACCCGCCGTGCAGCCCCAAATCCGCCCTCCACCCTTCCCTTCTCACACATTTCACGCACCTGCGGAAACTCTTCTTCTACCAATGCTTCACAGAAACCAACGTTTCATTCCCGGATCTCTCTTCCCTAGGATCGACTCTCGAAGAGGTGGTTTTCGTCGACAACCCGGCTTTGTTCGGTTCTTTGAAGGGCAACATTGGGAATCTGAAGAGCTTGCGACGGTTCGTTCTCACTGGAACTAATGTTTCCGGGGAAATTCCGGCCGAGTTTCGCGACTTGTTTAACATAGAGCAAGTAACCCTCTCCAGAAACAAACTCACCGGAAAAGTTGATTTCCCGGCGTTCCGAAAGCTCAGGGTTCTTGACCTGAGCCAGAACGAGTTCTCCGGCGCCGTCCCGGGTAACTTCGGGAACTTTACCCAGCTCCTGAAACTTGACCTGAGCCACAACAGGTTTTCCGGCGAAATCCCGGAGAGTCTGAGGGCGTTAAAGGAACTGGAATTTCTTGACCTGAGCTACAACAAGTTTTCCGAATCCGGGGTGCCGGCGTTTATATCGGAGTTGCCCAGATTAAAAGAGGTCTACCTGAGCGGGAATATTCTGGGAGGGGAAATTCCGGAAATATGGAAAGATATGGGGGCTGTTCTGGCAATAGGATTATCTGGAATGGGGCTAGTTGGGAAAATTCCAGTTTCTATGGGGGTGCATTTGAGAAATGTGAATTACTTGGGGCTGGACAACAACCGCCTGGAAGGGACAGTGCCCGAGGAGTTTGGGGCATTGGAATTTGTGAATGAGTTAAATTTGGAGAACAATAATCTGAGTGGGAAGGTCCCCTTTTCTCCAAAGTTTGCCACTAAAGTTGGTGAGAAGCTGAAATTACATGGAAACCCCCACCTCTGTGTGGGTGAAGGGCAAAAATCTGCTAAACTTAGTGGCAGTTTGGGAAAACTCAAATTGTGCAGCCAACCCTACCCTCCCAAACCTGTCCCTCTCCCTAATGCCACTCCAAAGTTGCAACATTCTTCTACTGCTCTGATGATTATTGGGGCTTTGTGTCTCCTCATTTAGGGGCAACCTTGACATTTTGCCATGAAGATAAGAACATTGATCTGATTAGTGCCCTGTTCATAGGGATTTTTTTGGGCATTTTTTTCCTTTTAAGTTATCAATGTCATGAAAAGTGAATATATGAACCTTGGTTTGAGATTTTAGTGCATTAACTTTGTTATTGTTAAGTGCATCAAAATTTACATTCTTATTCTTATCATATATCTCAATGTTCTTGGTTGAAAATGGAGAAATGTATGTAGCTTGTTTCATAGAATAGTTTTTAGTTAATTGGTGTTAGTGAGGAGGAATTATTAGTAGTGTTATTCAATTCTATTGTTGTCTTTTGTTACCCTTTGCTAGTGGTGGGATCTATCCGATTTGGGTTGTGTTTTTGCTAAACCCGGAAATTAATAGTAAGGTCCCATTTTATGAAAATTAGGTACCGGAACAAAGCCAATTATATTTGGTCTGAGTCGGGTTTTTGGTAGCCCGGGTTTGAGTTGGACCGGTTAAAACCCGAACGTGAAATCATCTTCTTTTTATATTTTAAAACCTACTTTCAAATACAATTAATGAAAAATACAAAACGCAAATATTAACACACATTAGGCTCCAAAATACCAACAATTCAATGCATATAAATAAATAATGTAGGTTTTCAAAATATACTAAATAAAATGTATAGATAAAAATGTGACTAAAGTTACTATAAATATATTTTCATGGTTATTACGGTATACAAAATTGAACATATTTGTAGTCACTAAAAGTTACTGAATCATTTTTCATACACCATGATTATAATCATATACTACGAATTAGGAATTATTTATAAATTGGATTCATATATTATACTAGTATTGATTTTATATTAAAGTTAATAGTTTTGGGTTTTTATCGATCTGGTTCGGGTTATAGATTTTAGGCCCATTTCTGAGCTTGATTTTTCGGGTTCGGTCCGGGGTTTTTATGCGGGTCAGTTAAAAAGAAAAAACCGTGACCAGAAACATCATTCGGGCCAGGCCAAAGTCGGTTTCCAGGTTTCTGTTCGGGTTTTCCCACCCCTACCCTTTGCCCTTAAGATCGGCTCTATTTTAAAAGAGAATTTATATTAACTCATGGAAAAAAATGTTCTTCATCATTTTCACAAACTAACTAAATTATCAAAAGAGCTCATTACTCCGTATTTAATTAGCATTTTAAAAGTAACTAATTCATGATGTCTCAAATAGACTTGTTAACTATTTACAGTTTCAAGTTTTCTTGATATACAGATATCAATTATCATAACATCTCACAATCTCTAATGCATGCTTAACGATATCGTGTAAGTTAATGTAGTCCTTTTTCTTTGTACATATTTGTTTAACCCATATTTATAGCAATGCATGCAACTCACAATTGGGTGCACAACATATGATACTCACGGGTCTACTTCACTATTCATACTAACAGAAAAAGTACCAAATCAACCTTCAAATTAACATAAATACTTTAAATCACCTCCTAAATATAAAAACGTGCGATCAGGACCTCCAACTCGGCCATATAGTGCAAATAACTCTTTAAATTAAGAAAAAGAAAATTGCAACCAAAATCTTCAACTAGGTGATATAATGTAAATGACTCTCCTAAGCGATAATTTACGAGTTTAAGTTGATGTATACCATTTATTAAAAAAAGTAAAGAGTCAAATAGACTATTCTACTATTTTCAATCAATCACTTAAGCTTCTCTATTAAAAAAATATTATATAAGTACACTTTAAAATACAACCAATCAAACCATTTTGGACTACTGTAAAAGGTTATTTTTTTAAACTGAAATTAGTAATATTGTTAAATCTTATAAAAATCCATATAAATTTAGAAAATAATGTTATAATAATATAAAGATAGTATAAATGTAAAAATAGATACAAAATAGTTTTTAATATAAAAAATGATGTTACAATTCAAAAGCTGATTAAATGGTCAAATTTATGAATTTTTTAAAGTAAGTATACTTATATATATGATGCTTATTTTTAATTGACTCGTACAATTACAAAAATATTTAAACAACAATAGAAAGGAGTTATATAAATCTCCTAGAATGTTTTTACTTGGATTTTTTTCAGCCTCAAACCAGACCACACTTCCATATTTATAAAATACATAGAGACCAGACATTTATAAGACCACGTCAGACCAGCAAATTTCAATCTAATTAAAAACATCCCTAGTCTTCGAAACTCCTGCTTTCTTGGTCGGTAGTTGTTTCCTTCATGAATTGGGGGGACGGTACTATGTTTAGTTCCTGGGTTTCTAAGCGGGTCTTCAGTCATTCGTGAAAACACACGAGCATCTCATTTTAGGTTTAGGTGGATACACACAACCAATTCCCCTAGTGGGGCATTAGTCAACCTCATTTTATAAGCAGACAATAAAAGGTTTATGGGAAATATATTAAGGTGGATAAATGAAACTTAAGTAACATAATTTCTTTAATAAGATGGTGCACATTAGCTTTAAATGGTAAATAAGCGCCTTGGAAAATCGATCATTTGCACTATATTTCCGAGTTGGAGAATTTGGTTGCATATTTTTTATTTATTTAAAGGGTGGTTTGCATTAACCCTTTTGGCCTGGATATTACTATATAAAGGATAAAAGACAAAAAATGATCTCTTTTAAAAATTCCAAAATGTGACCAACGTCAAAATTAAACCCTGATGTGCGAAGTGACCCCGGTCAATGTGATTCCGACCACAATGACTACGTCATCACAATGACTCCGCCGCCACAGTGACTTCGCCGCCACATTGACTTCAATCGCAGTGACTCCGACCACCATGACTGCCCGCCACCGGCCACAGTGACTGCCCGCCCAAATCCATCCACCACAGCCACTTTTCGGTCGCCGCCACCGGCCTACCCCGTCGACCACCCCGCTTTCAACAATGAGAACTCCGTAGTGACACACAATTACTCCGGTCACCACCAATCAACCCCACCATCCCACCGCCACCGCCCAGTGACCAACACCACCGCCGTACTCAACCGCCACAGACCACCACCGCCCACCCATTGGAACAATTTAATTAAGGTCATATGTGACATTTTGTATCCCTTAGAGCATAAATCTCCTGAATTCACAAGATACATTATAAATTGTCTGCCTCTAAATATATTAAATAGTCTTTAAATCCCAAGGAATTGTTAAAAAATTTAGATCATTTTCTTTTGAACCTTATTCCCTACTTAATCAGTCGATTTTATGAATCATAAAACCCGTTTGGTGATCCCATTTTTTGACTTATCGGGCTTATCAGCCAATTTTTTCGCCAAACACGTAATTTTTGATTTCGAACGCTGAATTTCGTAATAATAAGAAGAAATTAACATTAGAGTTACTTTTCTGATTGTATTGTCTAAAGTTACTGTAGGGGATCATTTTAGCTGTTTTTCATATAATTTTTTCTATATTTTATTACTAAAATATATTTTAAATATATACTTTTTCATAAATCAGCACAAATAAGCCAATTCAATCACTTTAACCAGAACTTCATAAATTTCAGCAAAATCAACCAATACAACGGATTTAGGTCTTAAAATCCACTACGCTAAGCATACAATTCATCAAGAAGGGGATTCAACAATTTCAACTAGCCTTTCGATCTTGTTTTGAAAGACTTCTCTTATGTTTGTGTTTGGGACTTTCGGTTGTCTTGAGCTCTCCTTTTGGCGTAACTCCTTTCGATGATATTTAGAGGGTGAGATATTTTTGATGTGATTGTTTTCATTCTCACATCAGATCTGATTAGATTTGAACGATTATAAAATATACAAAAGTTAAACATTTATCAGACTAGATCTGTTCAGATCAGACGAGATCATATCAAATTATTTAAGTTCAATTAAAAGCATCTTGACACTAAACTTTGGTTATGTGTGTTCCTTCTCCTATTTACGGAATTACATTTGGTTTTTTGTTGTCAAGAGTGAAAACATCAAACATTTAGCATCTTATTTGACCAGCTTATTTCATCCGATTGAAACCAAGCTTATGTATAGTTAGCATCAGGGGTGGAGGTAGGATGCCCCCCATGGGTCTAGGGTGAATTCAAAAATTCTTTGTATTTTTAGCATAACATACATGTGAAAAAAATTATCTTAAAAAAAATCTTTATACTTACCCAGCCCAAATTTAAATCCTGACTACGCCCCTAGTTAACATCATTCCAATCACTCTAATTTAACCTCTTTCACATTCTCATTTTTAAAATATACTTCAATAAAACTTTAAAGAAAAAACATTGATATCCCTTTGAAGACGTAAAATATAATCTTTGAAGTTGTAGTTAACTTAGTCATCCGGGTCTGTTTGGAAAACTCAAAATGGCACTAATAATACTTCTTCCTTCCCCCAATTAAGTTACAACATGAATTTTACACATATTAAGGAAATAAATTTACTTGAGATAAATTTTACTGTTTTAACACTGTTTGGCACTGTTTTTAACTGTTTGGAGACTGTTTTGCACTGTTTTGATGTAGATAATTTGACAAATAAGGAAAGTAAGGAAGTGTGAACTTAATTTAGAGACTACCCAAAAAAGAAAGTGATAACTTAATTGAGGGACAAAGGGAGTATTACATTTTCTATTAGCTGAAATATCTTAAATTCCCATGTTTAATTTTGAGATACCTTTTCCACAAAATATGCACAACTATTCCCGGTAAATTTTGAACAATGATTATATGATTACTTAATCAAAGAATTCAAACACAATAAAGTTTTAAACACACGACAAATGTGTTATTTACAATGAAAAATGATTTGTGGGTTAGTGAATTGTCGGGTTTGAAGTCACGCTAACTACAAAAAAAATGGGACTTGCCCTTCAACAGTTTTCCACTTCTTCCACTTTTGCAAGAGGTTTTGATGAGCAATCATCGTCAATGGTTCTCTGGGAAGGCTCTCCTTGATCGGCGTCCGGTGTCGCGGCCGCGGCCGTTGTGGCGGAGCTTCTGCTTGTTCTTGAAGAGCGGGTGGAGCCATCTACGTTGAAATCCCGGGACTTCTTTCGCCGGGATTTCTTCGGAACGTCCGGTAATGAGGGGTCCGACCCGTCATCGGGCTTGGACCCGTCGATGGCGGTCTTGTGACGCCTAGACTGGCGCGGCTTAGATGATTTGGGGGAATCACCACCACCATCATTGTCACCGGAAGAAAGGTGGCGTCTGGACGATTTTTTACCTTCCGCCGCGTCTCTGCTTCCCGATTTTCCACGTCTTCCCTTTGAATCTAAGAAACAAAATAAAGGAGTGTTTTTTTTTTTTGAAGAAAACAAATTCGAGTCTCGAAAGGACATGCGATATAAACGAACCTTCAGAAACCCATTTGATCTCTGGGTTCTCTTTGGAATCCACGGGTGGACCTAGAGGTGCTGATTTTAAAGCTCCCGCTCCTTTGAATTCATTCATCTGCATACATTATCTCCAATCAACAACATCTTCGGGATATTTAGTACTAGATTTAAACATAGAACTAAAAATTCAAATCAGATCAGATTATATTTAAAACAAAATTTATATAAAAACTACTGTATTGATATTTCTAATGTTATGCATTAATTTTTTTCCATATTTACATTTAGTTTTTCTGACTAAATGTTTAAGTATGTCGGGGATACCCAGGTTGGGTTGTCAACTGCAGATGGTCCATCCCATCCAATGTGGGCAACATGCTTTACATCTGTGGGAAATCCAATCTGTATTTCAGCTTCTTTTTCTTCATCGAATATCTGTGATATGTACCTAAGCCCTTTTATGAGCCCTTTCACCTTTGTGGACATCCTTCAAGTAACGCCCTATTCAATCTAATTCATATCATTTTTCTTTGATATGGAAACAAAAAAGCATTTCTTAAAAATTTATGCCACAAATTAATAACCTATGGAGATTCCTCCAAGGAATATAAATTGCATTGGTAAAACATTCGATGAACACGTTGAGTAATAATTTCTTCCAAGAATTTATCCTTGAAGAAGAAAAATGATAATATGATCAAGAAGGAGCAAAAGTATGGAAAGAAATATGTGAACATTAATCAACGGGGAAATGGCAAAAGAAAACGTGTTAAAGTTGGAGCTCCCACATTTCAAGGGCAATGCATTATTGGCTGGCTATTCATGCCCGTTAATCCTTACTTGAAGCCCATCGATATTTTAGGGATTCTAGACGAGTATTATACTACCGTTCGAATATACTTTGTAAATTGAACAAAAGGAATACATATTACTCAGAGTGGAAATTTCTTAAAATATGATAGAGTTAATTATCAAAATAGGACTAAAAGTCATTCACTTTTCACAAATAGGACCAAAAAATAAACTATGTTTGCATATGACTAATTATGTGTACCTTGGACAATTATACCCTTATAGCTATTAAAATGTTTTAATTCCTAATAAAATAATAAAAAAATAATAAAAATTCGTAAAAAATACTAAAAAATTAAGAAAAACATTTCGATATTAAAAATTTAATTATTTTTTTTTTCAAAAAATTAAAAAAATTAAAAAAAATCAAAAAAAAATTAAAACTCAAAAAAAAATCGCCGCCGCCTCTGCCGCCTCAGCACCACCACCTCCAGTCATCAGGGGAAAAAATGCCAATTTCATTACGAATGTCATATTTATGGCAGAAAAAAATGAAAATGTTGGCATTCGAAAAGAGAAATATGCCACTTTTTTGGCATTTTCAGAAAAAAATGGCATTTTTCTGGGAAAATGACATTTTTTTCATCGGCCGGAGGTGGTGGTGCTGGGAGGTAGTACAGGCGGTGGGAAAGGCATCCATATTTTTTTAAAATTTTTTACGGAGTTTTACTATTTTTTATTATTTTTTTTAAAAATAAAATTATTTTAAAAAAAAGTTTTTGAATTTTTTATTTTATAAAAATTTTATAAATTTTTTAATTATATTTCTACAAATTTTTGAATTTTTTTCGAATTTATTATGAATTAAACATTTAATTATGGCTTTTGATTATTTTTAATTCATATTTAATGGAAGGGTAAGAATGGAATGCAAAAATAGGTATGTTTCCAATAGGACTCATATGGTCCTATTTTGGAATAAAAACATAGTAAGTCCTATTTTAGGTTTTTGCCATAGTTTTAGTCCTATTTGAACTAATTTCTAAATATGATAATGTGAAAGTTTAAGATACCAGCGGTGTTCTTAAAGGGCCTTTTTATTTGAAAATTACTAACACGGAAAGACAAAAGACATTAATATGAGTGCTTTTAAAGTTTTCCACAAATGTGACCAAGCTACTTCTTATTTAATTTAGTACGAACTCCTACTTATATTATTTTCCAGCCTTGATATGATTCACCCACCGCAAGCCCCCTCCCCTGCCACCGGTGCTCCGCCCCCACCACCGGTGCTCCGCCACTGCCGCAGGTGCTCCGCTCCCGTCACCGGTGCTCCGCCGCCGCCGGTGAAAGTGACTACCCAGAAATTTAAGAAATTTTAAGCACCGCCAGCCCCGCCGTCGCCTCTCACGCCTCCACCACCCCCTTCACCAATCACAGTGACTCTAGCTGCAGTGACTCCATCGCCAAGTGACCCGTCGCCACGGTGACTCCGCCCCGCCTGTGACTAAGCTGCCACAGTGACTCTGCCGCTGTCCCGTCTCGTGACTGCCTCACCACCGCCTTAGTGACTGTCGCATCGCCGCCCCAGTGACCCTGCCAAAGTGACTCCGACCATCATGACTGCCCGCCTACCGGCCACAGTGACTCCGGTCACAGTGAATGCCTGCTCAACTCTGGCCACCATCACTACTTTCCGTCTGCCACCACCACCACCAGTCACCCCCGCAGGCCACTAACACGGATCAATTACAAACTCAGTCCAACCACTCACAACTACCTAATCTCATAATAACCATCAGCAGCCAACACTACCGGCGACCACCACCTTCACCGCCGTCACCCATCCAGAAAACCGCCGCCGCCACCCTACCCCTTCCCCAGCCCTAGCCCCACTCACAACCCCCTCTCAAGCTTGCCTACGATGTCCCAGCCACCTAGCAGCCGCCCTCTCAGCCTCACAATCCCCACCAGACCACCACCATCCCAACGTTGTCCCACACCTGTTGTCGATGTCCGCAATATGGTGCCTCCCAACCCTAGCTATGCCGCAATCCCTAATTAACCCTAGCCACCCCGCGAGATACTCTAGATCGAACGGAGACCGTCCAGATCTAAATCTTCGACATCTACAGGTTCGAGAAATAAAGGAGAAGAAGAGACATGAAGACGTGGGGACAAAAGGCTCAAGGGTGGAGGTAGGCGTCGATGTGAGATCGGTTGGCCGATTTTTGTAGCTCTGATGATGGTGGTGCGGATGAGGATATGCACCTGCGGTGCTTCAACGGAGAGGTCGAGGGATGTACTGCACAGGGCGACACAGAAGCTCGAGAAGCAGAGATGCGGAGTACCCTTTGCAACGAAGAAGGAATGAGAGGTGCGAAGGAGAGCTGCGATTTTGTGAAGGAGAAGCTGGATGCGCCAAAAGGGGTTTGGGAGAAAAGCTCTTTACGCTAAAGCCGGGGCAGTTTTTTGGAAAAAGTCAAAATTGTAATATTTTTGGAAATGAAAAGTTTGGTAGTCATACCCGTGCCATTTTTTCTTCTAAAAGGCTCCAAGAGATGGGAAGGCCTTGCCGTTAGGCGCAAGAAATCGTCCGCATAGTAAAGAGGCGCGAAAAAGACGGTCGAGTGGAGTGTTGACCATTAAAGACATGAAAATGAGTAAACTAGGTGTGAAAAGTCAGATTAGTTAGGCACATTTTTTGCAAGTAAAAATTGATTAAATTTGAAACAAATTACTTCTAAAAACATGTTATATATGGAATCTAACGCGGAGGAGCAAAAAGCAATATTATATCATTTCTTAATTGCACATCTTGTACATTTAAAAGTTAAATATAATGAATAAAGTAAACATTTCTTCATATAAAAGCAATATTATATCATTTCTTAATTGCACATCTTGTATATTACAAGTATTTTTCTTTTTTCTTCATATGTCACTATACAATAGTAATCACCAATAAAAATCTAAAATATATTTTCATGCCCGGACTTCACTTATTTTCGCTCAGGCTTCAAAGATATGAGACTTGACATAGGAGTGTTATGTTGCCCCCGCCTCACATCGTTTGGAATACTAGGTAAGAGTGCTCAAATTTTTCCATTAACCATTAATGACCTCTTGAAATAATACTACCATGTTTTATCATCAAGAAAGATTAATATAGTAGTATTGAAGCAATAATTAGTAACACTTTCAAGGCATGGCAGTTTTTACGCCTACTAGAAGGGTTTCCTAAAATATTACTAATAGAAAATATATGGACAAAAATGTGACTGTAAGTTATTATGAGTAAGTTTAATAGTCACTACGATGTAACATTTGAATATAAATATAGTCACATGTTTGTTCACTAATTTTATTGTGATTATATATTTGAAATTATAGCAAAAGTATAACACTCTTATTTTGGAAATTGACATTTTTTCTCCTTTTAGGACAAACTTTTTAATAAGGGCCTTCTAAACTTATAGTCTCCTAGACATTATTGATCTTTAGTTTCTTAATTGTTCAATGATTTACTCATATTTATTTACAACGTAATTGAAAATACAACTTATTCATTCAATAAAAAAAAATAAACTTAATCATTGAATTGTAATATAATAGTCCTTCTCATTAAGAGACATATGAAGACATCGATCTATTCCAGCAATTTTTTAAATTAATAATGAAATACATGTATGTCAATAAATAGCATTATATATTGACAATATATCACAATATTAAAATGACTATACTATTCAATTTTATCTATTTATTCAGCATACAACATAAATCCCTCATATGCAAATATTACTTAATCCAGACATACATCTTAATACAAATATACATCTATCTTAAGAAAAAATTATCTCCATCATTATCAAAAGACATTTGTTTTCCCAATATGACTGCACATGATTTTTCTAAAATGATGCACGATACCATATCTTGCTCTTGGGAGTTGCTATCATTAATCAAACATGTCTTTTTAAACCACTCATGTGTCTCATGTCTCACATGATAATTATAGTCATGATACACTACATCCAAAAACATAGATAGTCATATATTTGGAAAATACATATGTTTTATTGATATTTAGGTAATTTTATCCAATCTTAATACAGAAAGGATTTAATAGAAAAATAAGTACACAACCATTAACAAGTTTAAAGTAATCATTATGCCTTTATATATACTACACATGTTCTCCTTAAATTTGTATATTCTGGTGCCACTTCTTCCTATCACTTTGAGTTCATTATTCATGCGCTCTATGCATTTCATTTATACTATCTTTGTATACCATATTTGTAATATTTAATTTACTCGGTAATTAAGGTTGCTCAACTGATACAACTACATGTTAACTTCAAATTTTGGTTGATCATGTGAAGTCAGGGTTGTGGAGGTCGGTGAAGACGGAACAAGGAGCCAACAATTGGGGATCACAGATAATGAAAATATGTCATAAATTAAACTTCATTAAACGTATCAGTCACCGGCGAACAAGTAGCTCACTAAAACCTCTGTTGCTCCATGTTCTTGTTTCTGCATCCAAACTGTTGTTGGGCTTAGAGCATGAGTAGAATACTCCACTGTTAACGGGGTGGGTAGAAGAAGAAAGCAAACATGAGAAAAGCAAAACAGAAAAAGAATAAACTTAGTGACATGGTGCAACGTAAACACATTAATTTATTAATAGTTTGTTTACGCGTAAAATGTGATTTGATCTTCTTTTTTTTTCAAAAATGAGATGCTTGATTGAATGATTATTGATTACGATGTCTTAAATGATTAATTAGTAGTCTGAAGGTCAATTTGGTCCACTTTTGAGGCCTGTATATCATTTATGTTCTCTTTTCATTTTAATTTCAGTTTTAGACCGTTTCTGGTAACCTTCTTCATGCTCTACAAACTTTCTTCCATTGAACTTTTTTTCTCTTTTCCCACTTTCCGTTCTCTTCTTCTACAAACTTCTCTTTGTTGCATTTCTTCTACAT